CATCAGTGAAAAATCTACAATCCCAAGTTACTCTTTCACTTTTACCATATAGTCCCACAATTTTTAGTGACTTTGTACAAACACAAATGAGTGGAATTTAGGAAACAACACCTATGATGCACTAGAAGGAAAAGATCTTAATTTGCTTTGCATATGCAGCCTCACAAGGAACAATATGTTCGAAAAGCACATTTTACTCAATATAATAGAGACAGGACTCCACATTATTATACCCATGTGAAATGGATCTCTTAAATAAAAAGGTGTCATTTTATATAGATGCTTTCTTCAAAGTAGAACTGCTCTCTACAGAAATTGAAAATTGTTTCACATTATAATCTCAGTTTGCTCATTGACACATACCCCTAACTAACAAAAAATAAACAAAAAATCGGTCCACCTGAAATTTCATACCACATCTCCTTCCAGGGTAGAATTTTTCTGCCTGCATTGTGGTGGAATGAACAGATCTAATCCATGAGTAATGTCCAGACCAGTGGATGCCTTCCATTATGAGAAATAAGAATTAAGGTAAGGAGACTAGTTTTCTGTTTTACACATTTTGTTTGTTTGGCATACCCATCATAAAACAAATTTTCTGTTTAATATTTGTTTAAAATATTTAATAACATGTGAGCACTAGATGTAATTTAGGTTACTATCCACACATTAATACTAGGTTGCTGATTTAGGCCCTGATGAACTTTGGTCCATTCAGATAAGTGGGAGGTGTTTCACTGACTTCTATGAGTACTAGATGAAGCTGCTTAGAGATTAATTCTAAAATACTGGGACTTTCCCCATTGACTTCACAGGAAGCAAAATCAGGCTCTTGAGGCAAGAAAGAGTAATTAAAAGTCACTTTGTACATCTTTTTCAGTTTACTGTGGGCTTGTAAAACAAATCCACAGCGCTAATTGTAGTATATAGCTGTGGGCCTTTGTCACACATTATATTTTGACCAAAAATTCCTTAACACGAACATTCAGTGTGTTAAACGCAGGAGCCTCCCATAGAATCTTTGTAAACTAATGCACACAGATGCGAGGGTCTTACTATTGTGGTAGAATTCCTGTATTGTCTGTAGGTCTTTCTAGGGATGTGAACGACTAGTAGATTATCCGATAAGCAAATGCTTATCGGATAGTAGATAGGCTAGTCAACTAGTTGCTTCCTCCCCCTTGCTGCCTCTATCAGAAAGAGGCAGTAAGTGGGAGGAAGACGAGATGGTGCTTCAAAGTGGCAGACCCAAGCTGTCCCAGGCTGCATGAGGCATTTCAAAGTGACAGCACCACATGAAGCCCGGGGTCAGCAAGGGAGTCCAGAGTTGGCACCAGGCTGCACACGCCGTTTCCAAGCTGCAGTGCTGGGTGGAGCCCCGGGTCAGCTGGGGACTGCTTGTGTCCCACGCTGGCTCTGTGCTCTCTGCAGCACTTTTTTCTTTAAGTGCAGCAACAGCCCTGGGCTGTTGCTACACTTCAAAGGCGGAAGTGCCCTTATTGACTAACTGAATAGTCAATGCAAATTGCATCGACTATTCGATTAGCCAAATGGAAATTTTACGTCCGTAGGTTGGTCTTAATAGTTTTCCATTGTCCGATTCTGATTCTGCATAATCCTGACTTACTTTCTTTAGAGAAAGGGCACTAACTTTTGGGATGTATGGATTTATCATCATCGCTGCAAAATAAGGACTAACTTTCAGTTTCTTAAGAAATCTTTTGTGTAAAATACATCAAAGGTCATATTTTAAACTTTGAACTGGTTAGCTTCATGTTTAAAAGCTATAATATAGCAAGATATGGTTAGAAACCTTACAAATATTGTTAATTCAATAGGAACCTGATCTTGTTTGACTAATGGTCCCTATATACATTTCACACGTGTACATATGTGATCCAGGTGCCTGAGACTAGAGAACTGTAACAAGTAGTATCTGTGCATAAGCAGTTGCTCTTTTCATGCTTCCAAAGAAGGGGTGTAAAGGGTGGCCTGGACAAATACTTCTCCATTTCCTTCTTATATATCCTGAGTTGGAATTTGCTGCATCCACTATGATTCTCCTCAACGTCTTTACTTGTAAATATATATTGTAAGTAGCTTTTTAGTAAGTTTACACTTATTAGTGTTATAATTAGCTTAGTTTTCCCATCTTAGAATCATAGAATCATAGAATAATAGGACTGGAAGGGACCTCAAGAGGTCATCGAGTCCAGCCCCCCGCCCTCAAGGCAGGACCAAGCTCCACCTACACCATCCCTGACAGATGTCTATCTAACCTGTTCTTAAATATCTCCAGAGAGGGAGATTCCACCACCTCCCTTGGCAATTTATTCCAATATTTGACCACCCTGACAGTTAGGAATTTTTTCCTAATGTCCAATCTAAACCTCCCCTGCTGCACTTTAAGCCCATTACTCCTTGTCCTGTCCTCAGAAACCAAGAGGAACAAATTTTCTCCTTCCTCCTTGTGACACCCTTTTAGATATTTGAAAACCGCTATCATGTCCCCCCTTAATCTTCTTTTTTCCAAACTAAACAAGCCCAGTTCATGAAGCCTGGCTTCATAGGTCATGTTCTCTAGACCTTTAATCATTCTTGTCGCTCTTCTCTGTACCCTTTCCAATTTCTCCACATCTTTCTTGAAATGTGGCGCCCAGAACTGGACACAGTACTCCAGCTGAGGCCTAACTAGTGCAGAGTAGAGCGGCAGAATGACTTCACGAGTTTTGCTTACAACACACCTGTTGATACAACCTAGAATCATATTTGCTTTTTTTGCAACAGCATCACACTGTTGACTCATATTCAACTTGTGGTCCACTATGCCCCCTAGATCCCTTTCTGCCATGCTCCTTCCTAGACAGTCGCTTCCCATCTTGTATGTATGGAACTGATTGTTCCTTCCTAAGTGGAGCACTTTGCATTTCTCTTTATTAAACCTCATCCTGTTTACCTCTAACCATTTCTCTAACTTGCTAAGGTCATTTTGAATTATGTCCCTATCCTCCAAAGAAGTCGCAACCCCACCCAGTTTGGTATCATCTGCAAACTTAATAAGCGTACTCTCTATCCCAATATCTACATCATTGATGAAGATATTGAACAGTACGGGTCCCAAAACAGACCCTTGAGGAACTCCACTTGTTATCCCTTTCCAGCAGGATTTAGAACCGTTAACAACAACTCTCTGACTACGGTTATCCAGCCAATTATGCACCCCCCTTATCGTGGCCCTATCTAAGTTTTATTTGCCTAGTTTATCAATAAGAATATCATGCGAGACCGTATCAAATGCCTTACTAAAGTCTAGGTATATGACATCCACCGCTTCTCCCTTATCCACAAGGCTTGTTATCTTATCAAAGAAAGCTATCAGATTAGTTTGGCATGACTTGTTCTTCACAAACCCATGCTGGCTATTCCCTATCACTTTATTACCTTCCAAGTGTTTGCATATGATTTCCTTAATTACCTGCTCCATTATCTTCCCTGGGACAGACGTTAAACTGACGGGTCTATAGTTTCCTGGGTTGTTCTTATTCCCCTTTTTATAGATGGGCACAATATTTGCCCTTTTCCAGTCTTCTTAGGAAGTTTCTTCTCATGAAGGACTATGCCTAGAGACCTGAGTTTAGGAACTCTCTCCTGTGGTTTTCTTCTCTGTTGGCAACCTTTGCTACCTTCTCTGTCTGCAACCAGTGCTACCTTACTGCCTTGGGGAGACTCATACTGCCACCAAGTGTGGCATTTGCCATTCTTTCTGTAATATGCCAGGGTAAAATCCAGACTAAAGAGAAGTTGTGCCACCCCTGCCCTGAAACCTTGGGTTCCTTACAGTGCCTTGCTGAAGGAGCTCCCACCTATTCTACATACCAACAGCCTCCTAGCATGCAAGCCACACCATGAGGTATATGTGTAACTACAGCCTGCCAGGCACACTTGAGTTGTACTCTGCAAACCAGCCAAGATTGGTAAGAGTCAGTGACCCAAACACATGCCCAGTCTTAAGTTTCCCCCTCAGATATGTATACTATACTTGGCAGAGCTGACAGCCACTGTGGGCCCCAGAGCAAGGTTGGGGGGGGAGGAAGGGAGGAGGCAGCTCTCCACCTCCAGAAGGGATGGGAACTTGGGCAAAGGGGGTGGGGCTGGGGCAGCCAGCCTAAGTGTCAACCAGACAGTGGAGCTGGACCTACCCCAGCCTTCACAGCCAGGTTGAGTGGCACTTCAGCATCAATCAAAGCTTCACCCACCTCCAGAGCTACTGCAGCAGCAGAGGTGGCTGGATCCCTGAGCCCTTTGAATTGCCAGGCCCTGGGCAGCTGCCCCCTCTGTGTCTTCCCCTTCCCGTCAGTGGGCCTCACTGTACTACCCAGCCTCACCAAATCTCTTTGGGATTTATGAGAGGTGTTCATTGCCCTTCTGGGAAACTCTTCACCACCTCAGCTGCTAAATTCTTGAAACACTCCAACTCACAAGATACTTACATTTAGTATGATTAAACTCATTATGGTCTTTCAGTTGGCATTTAAAATTAGTATTTGTGCTAAAATATGTATCTACAGATAGACTAATGTTAAATATGTAGAATAAAATGCTTCATTCCAATATAGAGGACAAGCGCAAGGTCACCTGTACCACTCCAAACTAAACATTAGCTTATGTGTGTGGGAGATGCCAGCACCAGACATGGAATTTGATCAAATAATGCCAGTAAGGGGAACTACAGTGTTTGGATCCATTAGCCCAAAAATAGTTTTAAACCTTGAGTCTTCCTTAACATTCCTGGTGTCACCTCTATACTCTTCTCATTAGTATGTATCAGTTTTATCTTCAAGTCTTAGCATTAGCTAGTTCTGTCAAATTTAATAGTTATTTTGTATTTAATACATAATCCAGCTTCACAAGATTCTCAATGTATATGTGGAGAAGCCTGTTTAATATCTTTTTGCAAAGAGTGATATTTTATTACCTTAAATTTAGATTTTTCATTAATTAAAATGTATAATACAACCAATATTTGCCTCCCCCAGCCCTACCTTCACATACTACTCATGTCTGGCTATGTTTTCAAATTCTTTTTTAGGAATCTCTAAACTATCCATAGGTGTCAGTGTTTAAAAAAGCATTCATGTTACATTTAGTTGAGGTATGAGGTTGCTAAACTTGTAACTGTTAAAGGTCAGTATTGCCACTATGTTATGAAGAGGAGGCCCTCCAGAGGTTTGGGCTATAAAAAGAATTGGCTACATATTGCAACGTGCAAGATCAGTTCATGTAAACATTTGTAAAATTTAACAGTTGCTTCGTGTCTGTCATTTGGTTTGCCCACCGTCACAACAACTTTTGACCCTCCATTAAATCAAAGAAACAGTTGTTTCTGCCTTGATGTTTCCAATGATAATCAAGACCATCATAAAATCAAAAAGACGTCTGATATACTCTGGAATCAATTAGAAGCGTCCCTAACACTGGAAGGGATACATCCAAGTAATGTAATAGAAGAACTTTTATAGATCTAGTGTATC